CTCGTCGACCCGTGGCGGCCGTGCCTCATTCATCCGGCGTTCAAGTGCCCCTTCAAAAGAATCGAAAAGAAAAGGAACACGTCTCTCCTCGCCGACGGAACCTGTTGCAGGTACTCCCTGATTCCAGCGCGAATGTCGAAACTCCACAAGTATCAATTCGTCCAGCGACGTAACAAACTCTAATAGTCGTGGGCATGGAGGATATATGCCCGCAGCCCCTTGCCCGTATCCTTCCCCACTGTTATCTCCCATTCCTCATCATCAATTCTCCCCCCTGATTCATCGTACACCACCACCACAAAAGTCATATACTCCTCTCTCGTTTGTCCTCCTCATTCTTTTCGTAAAATGCACAAACATCTAGTCACGACAGCCAAGTGCAAACATTTTCTCCTCGTAACACGTCGGAAAAAAACAATCCCCCACCCCCGAGTCTCTCGACAAAAGTGTGCATACTTTTTGACAACATCCAGTGGGAGGGAGATGGACGAAGGAGAGACCTACATGCTACAGAGAAATAAATATCCAACATTTCGTGCATGTCATGAAACATCTAATCAAGATAAATAACATGTGTGTATGCTGTGTAGGTGTAAACACATGCCCATAACTCATTTTTCCGAAAAAAAAAATGGTGAAAAAAAATTGGACCGCTATCGATTTATCCGATCGTTTGCCCTCTCGCACTCTTTTTCCCTCGAACAAATGTTGATAGTTGGATTTGCGAAAAAAAAAAAAAACCTATTGGTACACTCGTGTGGGGTGCGCTCACCTGGGGTAGAATCATGACGTGCGGCAGCTGGCGCGCCTCGCCGCGCACTGACTGGCCACACTCCGCACCCCGAGCATCCCATGCTCCCTCTTGTGATCCCTTGCCCCTCTGAGAACCGCGCGCGCCGGATAGAACGTGCCAACCTATGTCGCCCCCTTTTCCCTCTTCCCTTTTCCCTCTTCGCTCACCCCACCCCCTCGCCGTCGCTCCCCCCTGCCCATTACCCCGGTGGGCTCCTTGATACCGCGGATAGAATCTCAACAACGGGATTGGTGATAAACCAACTCCCCTCCCTCCCCCCCCCCGGCCTCACCAATTCCCCTCTGGGTTGTACATCTTCGAACCCTTTGCCACATATCCCAACACTCCATCAAGTGACATTCAAATCGGGGCCTACGTTGGCTCGGTCAGTAGGACAAGATGGATTCGTAATTCGGTGGGGTGGGTTCAAATCCCGGTCGTTTGGATGCTGCTGGAAAGGAAAAATTGCGAGTGATTTGTTGACAAAATGTGCGGACGTTAGTCGTAGGACGGGGGAAAGTGCGGGGGAGGTGGACAAATAGCGTTGTGTTACTGGTGCGTAGAGTGTCACTGCTTCGCAACGCGCTTGTAACACATCCTACACTGAGAAAGATTTTTGAGCAGTACGGCTTGACACTTAGAAAAATTTCACTGATGTTTGCAGCCTTTAGCCTTGAAATATGAAACAAGTGACGGTTTCATTGAAATTTCAGGGAATTTTACCATTGAAAATTCGTGGTTTTCGCGGAACATTCATGGGAATTTTAAATTTCAGTTGAATTATTCCATGAAAATTGATGGAAATTAGGAAAATTCAAGCAAAAATGTTCTTGAATTTTCAATTTTTTTTAATTTCAGAGCAATTTCTTATTGAATTATCATGTTTACATTGAAAATTTATGGAAATTTCGGAATCTTCATGGTTCTTCCACTGAAAAATCAGGAATTTCCTTGAATTTTCAGGGAAACTTGAAATTTCATAGACTTTTTTACGTTAAATTGAATTCAGTGTTATTTTCTGAAAAATTCAGTTAAATTTTTTTAACAGTGTACTTATATCGAGAAACTCGTGGCTTGAAAATTTTCAAGAGCAAAATATCTTGCACTCAGAAGAAAAAACTTTCGTCAAGAAATTTTGTGCTTTTCCTAAAGACGAGGACAATTTCTTGGTGACAGAGCGAAAAAATAATGATATTAGATGTGTAGGAGTCGAATTTCAAAAAATTGATGCGTAATTATTATTGCACACATTTTTTCAAAAATTTCGAAAAAAGAGGATCTTCTGTTGCTCAAAAATTGGAGGTCCTGGAGTATTTTTAAGATTCTGGGCGTGTGCAGGGCAAATGAACAATAAACAATTCATTTTTTGCACTAATTATTCGGTTTTAGGCAATTTTTAGCATCAATTCTAAAATATTTTAATAAAAAAACCACTTGAATTGATTTGAAAACGCGTTTTCTTGAAATGAACCAATTGCCCTCATCTTTCGGACAAGTTCAAAATTTCGTGGCCTAAGATTTTTTTTCTTAGTGTGAGATATTGAACGCTTGGTAATTTTCGAGCCATGAATTTCTTGATACAAGTAAAGACGTCCTTCTCACAAGCTCTCGTCTTCTCAATGTATTTTTTGAAATACTCGGCGAAAATATTGGAATTTTTTCGTATCCCTGAATGGAAAGCAACTGGAATGAATGATGAAATAGTAGTTACTATTTGATTCCAGTTTGAATGTACATGACACTTTTTTTGTACAAAAGGACCGAAAATGTGATGGAGAATGGTCCCCTCTCCTATCCCTTGTCACCTTCACCGAGTTCTGTTGGTGACGTAATCCCAATGAATGACAAATGGATCGATGGAATTTCAGATAATTGCTACCAATTATTTCAAATAGTATTTCTATTCAATGGAACGATTTAAATACTTTTTTTTTACGAAGTTTGATTACTAGAAAATGGGAATAAATCGCGAATATTTTGAGTAGTATTTTGCCCAACTTTGCTTTTATTTTTACTAGTGTTGAAAACTTACTCTTGAAATTACGAGCATAAAATCTTAAGGATATCCAAGTACTTTGGCTATTTTTTCTCCAGTGAAGAACATCAGAGCTTTTAGTTGAACTTTTAGTCATTTGACCCTAAGTTGCCGGACATGTTACAATGATTTTATATTTACACTTTACAGATCTGAAGTTGAATCTCGATATTGAACGTTTGAAAACATTTTAAAAACTTGAAAAAAAATCAGAAAGTTTACTTTTGGGGAAAGATTTATGAAATAATTAAAAAATTGCAATTTTTGAAAATTACCTGCATTTTATATAAATAATTTATAAATAAACAATTTTCCACCATAACAATAATTCTTTTGGAATCGTAACAAATTTATGCATATACAGAATTTTACCAGAAATCGATTTCATGCTTCAAGTTTGAACAACTTCAATTATTTATTTATAAACAACGAATGTTAAAAAAAAAAAATTCTGTGCAAATTGTACTTCGAGTGACGTTGAATATTCATGATTTCTTTCAATTTTTCCTCACCCAATTTAATTAATAAATTTGATGATTGAAAATGGTTGAATCTATAGTATTACGACTAATTCCCATGGAATTTTCATATATATTATTCCTTCCAAATTAGTTCCAAATTATTGGACATTCCTAATCATTTGAAAATTAAATCGACTGTGAAAAATTCAATTTCGTTGAATTTCTCAAGTTGATAAAAACCTTCATGAGCGTTTTAATCTCAAATTAAATTCAAACTAACCGCATTGAAAAATCAAATGCAGCTGTTGAAAATTTCTGAAAGTCGAACACCTTAGTTTCGGGATATTGAGTCAACTCCACATCATCTCTTCATGAAAAATCGCACGGACCAAGAATTCCCTCCGAGTCCAGCCAACACGATCATTTTCGCAATATCAGCTCCTCTTTTTTCAGCCCACCCGCGAAATATCTGCAAATGACCACTGTGAATGTGACATTAATAAATCGCCTACAAACGCGCCCCGCGATAACCCAAGTATATCGCGATGAATTCGTAATTCACCAACTCATGTAAAACTCCGCATGTTATTCGCTCACCGAAATACAGCGCAATTCCACGAAAATCCATTCCCATCCCGAGCATTGTCACGTAAAAGAATATTAATGAAAACATAAATAGAACATGAATGAGAAATCGATTTGAACATCTAATACAATGACCACAGCGAGTGTGTCCATTCGAAATATCTCGACTGGGGAATGGGCATCGGGGATGTGGCATTAAGAAGTGGCACAAAACGCTCATCAACGGCACTAGGGAAAAAGTAATGACATTCAAAAACTATCTGGGGATTTCCCCAATGGGTAAAATTGTAAGCCAACACTAGCTCCTACCGACACTCTCATAAATTTGCCACATCAACAGAACAAATTGGCTAACACGAATGGATAGAAATGGAAAGGAAAAGGTGAGTCTGAGGGGACAGGGGAGTTGGGAGTTGGGCGGGGGGTGGGAGATGGGGGTGAGGGATAGTGAGAGAGGGGGGAGGGGCGGGAGGGAGGTAGTAGTAGTGAGAAGGTGAAATGCGAGAGGAAATCCCAGCATAATCCATGAGAATTGACGAGAACGCTTCTGGTGTCATTAATGAAATAATCGAGTAATTTCCTGTTCACATTGGCCTCTTGCACAGACTCGACATACTAGTGATTATTACGGCGAGGGGAGGACAGCGAGAGGTTGCGAGAGGGGCTGGAGGGGAAATCTCACCACACACTTGGTCGTTTGTGAGCATTGGAGCGTGTGATTCGCAGTGACGCTGGGGATAGTTTTACCGTTTAATGAGATGAGGAAAAGATCGTTTTCTCTCCCCCTTGGAGTTTTTTTCACTCTCTCTCTCGCTCCTTTTCCTCGTGCTTGACAGAGATTTAACCCCCTCGTTTTAGACGTGAAAGTGGAGGGAAACGACTCACCGGTGTTCAGTGATTTATTTGGGATTTGCTGTTTTCTTCGCGCTGTGATGGAGCGGTGAAGGGTCCAGGGCACGAGGTACGATGGGTGACATATTCGTTATACACTGGTAAAAATTTTTGTCGAGTTTAATTACCACTGAAATTTCAAGGAATCTCCTCATTAAAAATTCAGAATTTCGTGGAAAAATCAAGGAGAACTGTAAATTTCAGTTCCATTTTTCCCTGAAAATAAATAGAAAACCAGCAAATTTCAGTAAATATATTCTTGAATTTTCAGGACAATGACACTGAATACGATTTAGGGGGAAAAAATAATGAAATTTCAGATTTCAGTGAAAATTCAATATCATTTGGCAGTGAATATTCATATTAGATTGGAAATTCAAATACGCTAAAGAATTCTCGTCTCTATGCTGCTTAAAATTCTGGAATTTTACTGAATTTTCAGTGAAACTTGAAATTTCATGATTTTTTCCCCCTAAATTGCCTTCAGTGTGCAACCATATTTCCCATGAAATTTCGAAAAATTTCTAATATTGTACAATGCTAAAAATTTTCATCAGTTCAGTCAGAGCTCATTATTGACGTTGGATAACAAACGTTATTGAGAAAAAACACTGACCATACTCTGTAGTTTATTCGCTATTCAGAAATTATGTGGGGGCTGCATTCATTCAATTTCGTTGCTCTATCGAATTAACTTATTGGTGCATAGTCTCCCGCCTGACTAATTGTTCATTTGTTTTCGCCAGTTATCATCGAAATATAATCATCGCAAAAATAACAAACCGTCGATAGCATTCATGTGGGACACTGATTTTTTTATTCATTCGTTAGTATTTTGTGCAGATTTTCATCTCATTTCATATTTTATAATTTGTTATTACTATATCTACAGAACAGAACGACCGTGTGAGCAGCTTGAAACTTTCATTTCAGAGAATTTTTTTTTCGTTGGATCTTTCAAACGCAGTTGTGGGTCGACTCCCTCAAGTTATTACCAAACACTTCAAACTTTATGCCTCGATTTTGCCACGGAAGATCC